TGCCGGTTACTCACGGCAGTGACCATTATCCAATTGTTATTCTAGCTCCGGAGCACAGGGCGGACCATTCGAATACCCAGAATATTCCTCGTCCTAAACTAAAATTTAACCTGTCAAAGGCCGACTGGTCAAAATATAGATGTGTTTTAGACCAGGAAACTCAACACCTACCTGTGGCTGATCTTGAAAACTTTCACTCAGTCTATGCTGATTTTAGAAATTGTCTGCTGTCATCAGCAGATAAATGTCTCCCCACCAAAAATGTATTCAAGGGTAACTCCCCATCTCCACCTTGGTGGGATTCGGAATGCACTGAAGTCTGCAAGGATAGGAAAACAGCAGAATGTGCATACGCACTAACAATGACTGAATCCCTTTTTATAAAATACCGTGCGGTTGCAGCAAGAGCTGTAAGAGTACTGAGTGAAAAAAAAAGAGTTGGGTGGCGTAGATTTTGTGAAACTCTCTCTCCAAGATCTCATTCCTCCTTGGTTTGGAGGAATGTCAGGAGATTTAGGGGCTCCATATCCTGTTCCGGTAATATCTCTACTAATGACACCTCAGAGTGGCTTGAACAATTTCAAAACAAACTGGCTCCTCTCTCAGTCCCCACGGAAGACGAGGTAACTCTGTCCACATCCCCTACTCTATCTCCAACCTCAGTTTTTGACTCCCCATTCTCTCGGGATGAACTCTCGACAGTGTTAAACGGTCTCAAGGATTCTGCCCCTGGAATTGATGGTATACCATACTCTTTTATCGTTAACAGCAGTGATTCAACCAAACACTTATTCCTTAATATTCTTAATAACATCTTTCTGACGGGAGTTCCTCCAGATGAATGGAAAGTCCAAATCATTATACCTATATTAAAACCAGGTAAACTTAGTAATGACCCTAATGGATATAGACCCATTGCTCTTTCCTGCACGCTAGCCAAAGTTTTAGAACATCTCATTAAAAATCGCCTTGAGTGGATAGTTGAAAGTAGGGGTTTACTCGCTAAAAGTCAATATGGTTTCCGGAAGGGCATGAGCACCATGGATAGCCTCAGTATTTTTCTGACAGACATTTGGATTGGCTTGTCTAAACGAGAACATGTAGTTGGAGTTTTTTTGGATGTGTCATCAGCATATGACAATGTATTGCTTCCAGTACTCAGGCAAAAGTTGCTCAATCTGAGTATACCTGTGAAGCTTATCAATATAATTTTTAATCTCCTCTCTGCCCGTTCAATTCAAGTCAGTGTTAACAACTCCCTTTTACCACCAAGAACTGTCTGGAGAGGCCTTCCACAGGGATCCGTTCTTAGTCCCTTGCTTTATAGCCTCTACACCTATGACCTCGAGCAGTCTCTTAACCCATTTTGCAACGTCCTCCAGTATGCTGACGACTTGGCCTTATACATTTCGGATATCAACATCGAAAATATCTCAGCCCACCTCAATTCTGCTCTAAACTACCTCCATACCTGGCTAACCCACCACGGCCTTTCGCTGTCGGTCGGAAAAAGTAATGCAGTAGTTTTTTCCCGTGCAAGGAACACACCCCATATTATTATTAATTACGAGAACCAGTCTATCCCGTTAAAAAATCAAGCCAGGTTCCTTGGAGTTATGGTGGAGTCAAAAATGACAGGCGCCCATCACATCTCACATGTTGTTAAAAAATGTGAGAAAAATATTAATATCCTTCGGTCATTGTCGGGAACATGGTGGGGTGCTCACCCTCAATCTCAGAAGCTTTTATACAATGCTCTGATTCGTGCTCATCTAGATTACGGTTCCTTTTTACTAGAACCATGCCATAAATCCTGTTTAAAAGATCTAGACAAGGTACAATATAAATCTCTTCGAATTATAACAGGGGCTATGAAATCTTCTCCCACCAATGCACTACAGGTGGAATGTGCGGACCCCCCCTTATCTATCAGGAGACAATATTTAGCGGACAGATTTCTTTTTAAAATTATTCAAAATTCATCCCATCCTCTTATAGGTAAATTACATCAATTATCAGAATTTTTATCCTCTGATAAGTACTGGAGACATAAATCTGCACCCTGTCTGTTTCTTAGTTTTATTAAATTTATCAGGCTCCCCTGTCCAGTATATCAGTGCACCCTAAACCCTCTCTTCGATATACCTTATCTCGGTCTTATCTATCAACCCGGCATACTACTGAATTTAGGCATTGACAAAAATTCCTCTAACTCTGAAGTTCAATTACAAAAGTACATCGATGAGAATTGGGGCGATTGGCTTGTGATGTACACTGATGCTTCTAAAATGTCAGATGAAGGATGTGTTGGTGCTGCTGTCTGGATACCCAAATTTAAAATTATTCTTCATTTTAAATGTACTCCCCTTTCTTCTGTTTTTACCGGGGAAGCCATTGCTATCTTAGAAGCTCTTCTCTATATTGAGTCTCATAAGCTAGATAAAACTGTCATATTAACAGACTCGAAGAGTTGTCTCCAGGCAATTCTGTCCAATCCTTTCCGTAACAGATCCAACTTTCCCTGTATCTTAAAAATTAGAAATGTGCTATACAGTTGTTTCAGTCAAGGAATTAGAGTCTCTTTGGCCTGGATCCCAGGTCATTCTGGTATAGTAGGTAACGAGACCGTTGACCTGATGGCAAAAGATGCCACTGAAATTGGATGTCCTACGTACTCTCAAGTATTCTCTCATGACCTGCCCTTACTGGCAACTCAAAAGATGATGTCCACATGGGAAGTTGAATGGAAAGAGAGTACCAAAGTGAAAGGAAAGCATTATGCGAACATTCAAAATGTCATCCCGAGTAAACCTTGGTTCTTTAAATTTAACAAAGCATCCAAATCTTGCACCTCGACCATATGTAGATTAAGGCTCGGTCACTCGAGCACCCCAGTTCACTTAGCTAAAATTAGGGTAAGGGACAGCTCGCTTTGCGAATGCGGGCTGGACGAAGGAACTCCGGATCACATTTTCTTCAATTGTAACAAGTACCCAGTCTCCTTGTACGATGTCCTTCCCTCAAGCATTCTCAAACCCACAAATTTCAATACGATTTTAAGTCTTGTGGATACGACTTGCATCAATGTCCTTTGTGATTATATAACCAGCAATAACATAAATTTATAATTTGTTTGTCCTGCCTAACACACTTACATACTAACATTTGTCTATATATATTGTTCTCCGTCCCTTTCAGGTAATTCAACAGCTTTAAATAGGAAAGGATTTTTTTTATATCACATTGTGCTCTCACAATACTCATTGAATAGCAGAGTCTACAGAAGCCCTTAAAATTACTAAGCGGAAAACTCGATACTGGCGAAATCTAAAGGGTAGCGCCATTAAGCAAAAAGAAGAAGAAGAATATTGAAATCATTCACAATCGCGCATCGCTAACCGATACCGATTAACGAATTCCGGCGTTCATGGTTGAGTGATAAATACCGGTAGCGGTACTTGCACAGCGCACAGTTTCACACACAATAGGAAGCTTCGAAAGAGGAACCACTCGCAGACGTTGAATACAGTTTTGGGCAAAATGTAATTGTTCAGATAATTAAAGATTGACAATAAATTAATTGTCAATTGCGAAACAGCAATTAACAAACGATTAATTGTTAATTACTGTTCTCGCAACTAACAATTGTTAATCGCGTATATCTACAATCAACAATTGATCAATTTTCAATCTTTAAAATGTTTTTGATTAACAATTAACAATTAAAACTGACAATTATGATAAATTTAGAGGGCGAGTGAATGAGTGGGGAGTGAGTAGTGTTGAGTGGGGAGTGAATGGGGAATGTATGGGGAATGAGATGGAGTGAGTGGGGAGTGACGAGTTAGTGAGTGAGTGCCTCTGTTGCCGAATATAGCATGGGCAATATAGTATTTGGGGTGCTCTTGTAATGAATATGGCACTCATTTCTAAATCCATGATGGCGGGCATGATTTTCCAAAGAATTGGGAGGAAGTGGGGAGTGACTTGGGCGTGAGTGGGGAGTGAGTGGGAAGCCATCTTGGATTTAGAAGTAAACGCTATATATAATTAATAAACTAGCACCCCCTAATACCTCGAAAACGATACCCAACTTGCCATTATTTGAAAAGTCGTGCCCGCCATCTTGGATATAGAAAGGAGTGCCATATTCGTTACGAGAGCACCCCAAATACTATATTTCCCATACTATATTCGACCACGGAGGCACTCACTCACTCAATCCTCACTTACTCCCCACTTACTCCACACACACTCCCCGCTCACTCACCACTCACTCCCCTTTATTTGAAAAATCGATGCCCGCCATTTTGGATTTAGAAATGAGTGCCATATTCGTAATGACACTTTTATTCGGTAGTTTTGGTTTTAATTGTTAGTTTTAATTGTTTCTTAGGATAATTTAAAAAATTAATTGCAATTAAAATCAATTCATTCAAAATCAATTGCAATTAAAATTAATTGCGACGGTGCAATTGATTTCAATTGCAATTAAATCAATTGCAATGAATTTTTTAGTCATTTAAATTCTGATTGAAATTTAATTGATTAACCCCCAACACTGGTTGAATAACATTGATATGAGCGGATATGGTAGTGTAGTACAAAATGTTCACGACTACTTTATTAATCATTATGGTAGACAATATGTAGTTGTCTTTGAATTGAAATATACTTATTTTTAAGATTTAAGAAAAGTATCGTTTTTATTTCGACTTTCAATTATTTTGTGAAATCTAGTTTAAAGTGGAATAGGATAGTGCTATTGTGCTTTAATCGAAGATTAAAACGCGAAATTATACGAATCTCGAACTAAAATACCCGTTTTAAGGAATCCCGAGTCAATCCAAACACGCCGCCTCAAATTGCCTATCCTCTTTGTGGCGGCCATATTTACAGAAACATATTTAAACTTTATGTTTAGGCTAATGGCTTTGCCAAAGCCTTAATAAATTAAAAAAAACCTTATTTTTAATCTGTGGTAACCTACGCGTTGGGTAGCGGCGTCTTCTTAATTTTTTACAAATTATTTGTACATTTACTGTGCGGAATAGCGTTTCAAATCAATAGATTAACTAAGTGCAAATATTACAACTGCTATAGTAGCATAGATCTGTATTTTCTATATATTGGCGTTATCTACTAACCTCGCACAATGAGTAAGTTTTTTTTATGTTTTCTACTTTATTGTAAGGTTTTCTATATTTTAAAATTAATTGGATTTTTCATATATAGCAACAATAATAAGAAACTTTTCTTCCGAAATCTGCTTTATTTTTTTATAACCTTTAATACAAAATTTTTAGTCACGAATACATACATAACATAAACAATAAATAAATAAAACATTATAGTAAATCTATTGCTTTCTTTTGTTTTTCAGCGATGGATATTCGCCCCAACCACACGATTTATATAAACAATCTAAATGAGAAAATCAAGAAAGAAGAGCTAAAGAAATCTCTTTATGCCATTTTTTCACAATTTGGTCAAATTCTTGACATAGTCGCCTTAAAAACGTTGAAAATGCGAGGGCAGGCCTTCGTTATTTTTAAAGAAATATCCAGTGCTACAGTTGCTTTGAGGAGTATGCAAGGATTCCCTTTTTATGACAAACCCATGGTAAGAATCTCTAAAGTACCTCTTAAAACATAAACAATTTGTACACTTTGTCATCTTGTATCCGTGTATTTATTTTAACGAGTAGTTGCATCGATAAACTACACTGGAAAATTTAGTAAGATAGGGTGAGAATAACCCTATATAGCCCTTAGTTGTGTACCTATTAGTCCACATTAGTGTATTAAATGCATATGTAAGTAGTGAGAGACTTCTGCACCGTGATGCACAGATGTATGGTAAGAAGGAAAAAATATTAGTACATTTTGTACCATGTGTACATGGAATGGTTTCATCTCTGCCGTCCAAACAGGCGCCAGAGACCAATCAAATGACAGCTCATAGTGTCTTGGCCACAATGAGAGAATGCTAAACGCATTACTGTATCATCCAGGAATACTAACAAAATTAAACAAAAAAAGCACTCTTTTTTGTATCAATTAATTTACAATCTTGACGGAAACAAATTATAAGATAACATAAAACATGAAATCCTGAAATTGATCTGAACATAAATCTTTTTTGTAAAATTTATAACTTCAAGCATTTATGATATAGAGGATAATGTCTTTAACCCTTAATTAGTTGCATCAAAAAAGTTATGCAATAGATTGCTGGGGTGTGCAACACCCCAAATTAGAACTGTGAACTAAATAAAAATCCTTTTTATGAAGCTAGCCTGAAGACAAGTGCCATAAGTTTAAATTTTAATAACTTATGAGCCTAGAAACCTGCAATGAGGTGTGAAAAACTTCACGCGACTAATTAAGGATTAAGGTCATTAATTAAAACTTATAGTCTATAATCTGTTGCTGTATGTACTATTCATTAAATAAAATTTTCAATTTACAGAGAATCCAATACTGCAAAACTGACAGTGATGTAATAGCTAAAATCAAGGGCACATTCCAAGAAAGACCAAAACGTCCCAAAATGCCTAAAGGCCTTGATGACAGCAGAAAGAAAAAGAACAAAGATGCCAACCGCCTTGGTGCAGCAGCAGGTTATGGTCAATCCGGTCTGCACAATAATGTCAATGCAGAACAACCCCCAAATCAGATTCTGTTCTTGACTAATCTTCCTGATGAAACTTCCGAGATGATGTTGTCTATGTTATTCAACCAGTTAGTATATCTTTTATATATCACATTTTAATTCTTGTTCTATTGAAATTAAGATTGGAAATCAAAGCAACTTATATTCATTGTATTTTCACAGGTTTCCTGGTTTCAAAGAAGTGCGACTAGTACCAAACAGACATGACATTGCATTTGTTGAATTTGCAAATGAAATGCAATCAGCAGCCGCCAAAGACGCTCTACAAGGCTTCAAGATTACACCCACACATGCTATGAAAATAACGTTTGCAAAGAAATAATTGTTAAGCTTAAGATTGTATTAGCACATACATATGAATAGAAATAAAGTTTGAGTACTCGAGAACTGTTTTGAGCATTGCACCACGCCTTAACAGCTCTCAGGCTGTGACTAGTCATTATGTTTCCTAAAATACCGAGTTTATTTTCAACTCTACCTGTTATACCTGGTTTTTGCTAAATGGTTGCCTGGATTAGAACTTGTGACTATTTTAGAAATTATAAAATAAGGGAAATAATTAGACTTGAGTTGCAACATCAACAATAAAATTAGTTTCATTCAATTTAACAACTTCTGAAGTCATAAATTTATTTTGTGATTTCAAAAGAATGTGTCAGCGCCAGCCTTAGATGTATTCTGATAATATAGTAGAATCTACTAAATTTAACTTGAATTTGTATATGGCAACACAGTATTATCCTACAAACATCAGTAGGTGTGTTGTTTAGAGTGAAAAGGACAGCTGCTATTTGTCTGTTCCTTGAAATTAGAGAAGGATAGCTGATACGTCTATATTATGTCCGTGCTCTATACGATTTATTAGCATTATACTTTATTTTTAGTGATTGCGAAACGTCAAATGGATGACTCGTTCTGGATTTTTGTTTATTAATTTTGCTTTATTTAGCCCTTTTTTTATGTCTTATAATTTATTAACTGTACTTAGCTGATCACGGAG